GAGGAAGGGATCTCCTCATTTGGGTCATATTTCCTGTACAGGAGAGTAGGGTGACTTCTGGTGCTATCTTCAAAAGCATGGGGAGAAGATACAGAGGCCAGTGAGACATTAGTGTTTCAAGAGAAGGTGAAAGAGGAGAAAAAAAAAATCCCTTGAGGGGCACCTAAGATAGATATGTGAAGTGGTCATAGGAGTCGAGCAATTGTTATCCCCTTGGAATAAGATAACAGAGTAAGCTGCTGCAGAGGGAGCAGACTGATGCACTGAGATTGCTTTCTCAGCCACCTGAATTTTTAGTCAACCTGAATTCTAAGTCAACTTTCTCTGCTGTTGCATTTTCCCATCTAGTTTCCTTTTTTCTTTTTTCATTCTATATCTGTATGTTGTGGTTTGAGGCTTGGAATGGGGGTGTGACCTTCCAGCACCTGGGAGGACCCTGGGTGGGTGTGAACCATGTATTCCCTCCCTTCCAACACACACTCTGATAAGAGGCAGGAAGTGGGTGCTAACTTCACTCCTGCCCTGCAGCTCAGAAGTCTAGGTTGTGCTTTGCTTCGTGGGACCTTGGAACCATTTCTGAGGGTTCTGTATACTTTGTTTATTTTTGTATTTCCACTAATCTTTGTATATATTTTTTTTCTTACCGCCCTTTTTCGTTTTCTGTTCCTTGTTAAACAATATACTTCATTTTTTTTTTTTTTTATTTAACTCCCAATAGCTTTTTTTTCAAAGTCTCTCTCTCTCTCTGGGGGGGGGGGAAAGGGGAGTACATAGTTCTGTTCCGTGTGGGTCCTGCCCTGAACCCCTTTTTACACGGAACCAGAACACTATAGTATTTTATGACAAGCATCAGCAAAGTCACAGTCTCCTTCCTTTTTGCCTCATGTGACCAAGTTTTCTTTGAGTAAAGTGTTCCCTTGCCAAAGACAAGGAAGAGGTGAGAGGATGTGGTGATTCCCCCCTGTGACTGCTGGCTTCATGCCCTTGGTGGGTCATGTCACTCCATGGCCATGCTTCTCTATGGCTGCATTGCTCATGCTGCTTGATTGTGAATCCTCTTTGTATGGATCTGGTAGTTACTGACATTGGACAACACATCTCCAAGGACTTGGGGGTCTTGTTGCCAGATGGAAATCTGACATGCAATTAAGAATGAACTCCATGGAGTGACATTCCTAATTGTAGAAGACAGTAAAATATCCCTGGACAGCACTGTCACTGCTCACAGTCCTGACTGTGGAAGGAATGAAGACAAGCTCCTGAAAATACAGACATACAGAGTAGAACAAAATAGACATCATCCTTCACAGTCAGTCTCCCAATCTGTTCAGCCTCTAATATGTTGCTTTATGAAAAATGAAGACAAACACTTTTTTTCTTATATTTTTTTTTTTTTTTTATAAACAAACAAACAATCCAGAAGCTTTTTAAATTCAACTGGCAAAAAGAAGTCTGAGATGGAGCTCCCAGCTTTACTCAAACAGGAGAAAAACCAGACAACTCAGCACTTTGGCCACAGAAACACAAACAGTTCACAGTAACTCATGAATGAGCTAAATGTGCCAGTAAAACAAGGAGATAAAGTAAGTTTAGTCACAGTGATTCATTGTCGTGTTATGTGTCTTTTTCTCTAAGACCCTGCACAATTTCTGGTTGTATCTTGGGGGCAAGCATTATCTTACTTTCACCTTTGCCTGTACTGTCAAGTTCTGTATAAGAACTGGTTACCCTCAGCCTAGATTGTAGTGCCTGGAAAGATACAGGCTCTTGCTGCTGCGATTCAGCAGTTGGATGTTTTAATGTCTACTTTAAAATGAAGTCATTCACTCTCATTGGTTATTTCCCTCCAGTAACTATAAAGGGTCTCTAGAGTGACATAAGAAATTAATATCTATATTGTTGATACCTTGACTGAAGCTTACACCTGCTTTGCTACTTCATAGATGTCTGTATCACATAGGATGAGTACCACTGGAGTAGTGCTTTTGTTTGATTGTCTTTTGCTGCAGTTGTTGAGGGTTGGCCATTGTTTGGCAGCATTATGCCCTACCCTGTGCCTACACTCCTCTTTGTGAGGGCCCAGAAGCCCTGTGGGCTGAGAGAAGCACCATCCACGGAGGCTTTGGTGAAATGTAAGCCATCTGAACATGACCCCTCGTGGGCCTGGCAAAGTCACAAGGGTATTAGAAACTATGATTAATCCAGGTTTGATCTGATCCAGGTTTGGTCTGGGCTCTGCCATGGAGCTGCTACATTGGTGGCAACACTCTGGATTTGGAGACCACTGCAGTGTCCAGTGTGGGCAGGGAGAATGACCAATGCAGAAGACTTACTACAACTTTGCACCTACAGACATGCCTGTTCATTCTGACACTTGGCTTTTATTCAAACAGTGCCTGCTGGCCTTTGCCTGGAGTGCCACTGCAAGACTCGTTGATGGAAACTGAGGTTGCTGGCTCAGCAGCCAAGCACTCTGTATCTATCACATCAGTCTGGAACGCTGTGATTTGTACTTCCCTGCTCCCTGGTCTCTCATCCTTTGACCTACCCAGAGAACAAACTATCACTAAATGGTTCCCTACCCTCCCAGAAAGGCTTTTAGTGACTAGTACTAAAACAGCTAGTGAATAATCCTGATTGACAGCTTCAAGTCCCTCCTCTCTAAGGACTTCAACATACTTCACAAATGTGCAGGGACTCAGACTGTCTCTGATAAAGTCCTGCATCCTGCAGTAAGAAATAAACCACCTTATTCTATTTTCCAGGTGACATCCCTAATGATCAGAAAACAACCCAAGCTCTGTCGATATTATAAGAATGTTTGTTGTTTTATTCTTTTTGGTGGGTACAAAAACCACAGTTTCTTACACAGAACAAGATTATAAATAATATCTGTAACATGAGTGACCCGTAGTCTCTTTTGATTCTACACTGCAGACTGATGACGTACTCTAAACATTTTATCATTTTGTTTCTTGTATTAGACAGATGCAAATCTGTGGAACACGGAATGATGGAACAGAATGAAGGTAACAGCAAACAAGAGGATGACCAACAACTTTTATAAAAAAAAAGTCTCTGAATTTTATTACAGTGATGGCATTTTATATCAATTATTGCAATGAATTGTTCCCTAAGATGGTTAGAAAAAAGAATTGTGTTGTCCTCTACCGAATTTACATCAGTTAAAAAGCAAGCATGTTTCAATATTTCTCTTTTTCAAAGAAAATGTAAATAATTTCTTTATTTTTTCACAGGATTTACATATTTATTATTTTCTTATCACAGTTTAGTGATTCATTTCTACAGCTGAACAGCTGAGTATTCTTCCATTGTATATATTGATGTTCTGGAGACACAGGTTAGCATGTTCATTGACTTCTACAGCTATTTTTCTCTTTGTCAAGACAAAGACCAAAATGTTGTCCTTTCTGAGCATGTTCTTCACAGTTCAATGCGCTAAATTCGCAAGTCTTATTAGTTTTAAGTCCACTCAAGTGAAATTTGTTGCTGTTAATACACCATTCCCAGCCCCCTCCCCCCAACAAAACTAAATTATGAATTTTCCTGATATAAAATCTGAGTTTGGGTTTCCGAGCTGAGCTCATGCACACATTGTTGCTGATGATGTCTGGCGCATTTGGACGTACTTCCCTTTCTCAGCCAAATTATTAGTTCATCAATGACACTCCCATGTCGTTACAGTCTGTGCTGTGTTCCCATCAGACACCAACACAGTTTGATTAAGGCACTCAATTATTTTTTTGGTTTTTATGGTAGGTCCGATGCAATTACGGCCAATCCTGAACTTTGTCTAATTGCAGTTCCAGTATGCACGGACTTCGGGCAGTCGGGAGTCAATACACGTCCGTTTTCTCCCACGCTCCCTGTGATGGATAGTCTGGCTTTGTTTCTTATGGCTTCAGAAAAGGTAAGCTAGGTTTGAAAAAAAAAAAAAAAAAAAAAAGGAGAAAAGATGAAAGCGTTAACATTTTTCTGTCCTTCAACAAACCAGGACACAGCAAACACCAAAATATTAAATGTTAGACATCTGCATTTTTTCATGTTAACGTTAAATATAATAATAGTAATCATCATAAATACAATACTAGGGGAAAAAAGACTAGCAATTCTGAGGGTAAATTTCATTACAATAAATCACCATTGATTTAAATATAAAATCTAAATTTGATCAAGAAATTAACAGAAGAAGCAGTACCTTCATCTAAACTGCTTCAAACTACATTTATATACAATTAAATGAGCATCAAGATCTTTTATGAACCTGAAAGTATTAGCATCTGTGAATAAAGTAATGCACAGGTTGTTATAGGCTTAGATCCTCAACTAGGCATATCAAGATAAAATATAGCTGCTGAAAATTGTTTATAAATGGCAATAGCTGTATCAGCTAGCTTTGTGATAATTCCACAGATCAAATATAAAGAAATTGTTACTTGTATTCACAATGCCCATATTTAGTATCGGTAAATCTGAGAACTGTCTTCAAATCTCTTCATATATATATTTTCCTACACTTAGATAAGGTGGGAACTTTCAAAGGAAATGTAGCTTATTGTGCTACAAAATACAATTTTCTACAGTCTTCTACATTAGGTCTAAATTTTCCACAAAATGGTTTACATTTTTGCTATGACAGAATCTTTACTTTCAGGTAAATCAGAACAAAATATCTCATTTAGGGACTAGCTGACTCAAGCAAGAGCTCTGTCATGTGATGATAGAAAAAGTCAGAATGGCTCCTTGAGACTAAATCATTTCCAGATGACTAAAATTGAGGGAGGTGTCTAAGGTCAACCAGTGCATGCACCCAAACTACTCTGTGTTGAAACAGATTTCAAATAAATCATGTTAAGATGTTGATTAGTGAGGAAATCTGATTTCTAGTCAGCAGAAGCTATAGTCTATGCAACTAACTCAAGTAGCTGGTATGCAGGGATGCAATCTGAAATACCAATTGGAAAAAGAGAGACAGGAGCGTGCATTCACAGAGAAGCAAAGGGATGACATACATAATAAAATAATTTTATTTGCCTTGTTACTGATCTCTGCATTTAGAACTTTGTCCCTCTGAGCCTGCTTGCTCCTTCTGAGGTGGCAGTGAAATGCTAAGCGGCTGTTTGATATGCTGAAGTTAATTTTATACGAGCGTGTGTGTATAAGGATGAGGAAGATTCTTTAAAACTCCCAAATGTTTCCACTGCTTTTGGATGCACTTCTATGAGAACGTAGCAGTCTAATATTTCACTGCTATCAGTAGATCCTCCAAACAAGAGTTCTGAAAAGTGCAGTCACTATTGTGGCATAGACAAAAACTGGATATAAAAGCAGCTTTCCACATCAATTATCCTAAAACCCTCAGCCCTCACAAGCAGACGAATTCAGGAAAAGGCCTCAACATACAGAGGGCATTATGTCACTCCCCTTACAATGAAAAAACTTGGCTTTGATAATCATCAATGCAAAAATGACCTTTTGAAAAGTATCCCTGCTGCCACAGTATTTTGTGACAGGGACTTTTACACACATATCTTGAGCTGGGCCCATATAGCACCAAAAAACTCATCTGCTTCCCAGCAGCGAATAAAAAGCTATGCATTTGCAAAGCACAGACACAATGCAATGTGGTGTAGCTCCACATAGTGCATGTCCAGAGTCCCATTGCAAATGGATGTCGAGGACTGGTAACTGCCTGTGGAAATGCATAGAACATGTTTTGGTCAACGGCAAGAAAAAAACAAAGGTGCTTTAGTTTTGGGGAGGGATGAGTGTCCAAACCACATCAGAATGCAGACTGGGGTGGAAAAGGGACAGCTTACTCCAGATGTGCCAAGCTTCCCAGAAAGTTGTCATTATGTATCAGCATCTCTCCATCACTTTGATCAGCTATCTGTTCATGGCCATTCAGGGCTAGCCAATGGGAAATCCGATATTTATATAGGATATATGAGTTATGTGTAACTGTGGTTTTGGTTCAAATCTATATAGCTTTCTGGCCATTGACAACACACTTAGGACAGAAAGACAGTCAAAAGGGATCCACGGGGGGGGGGGGGGGGGGGGGAAATGTCAAATGAGAATAACAAACAATTTCTCAGCAGCCTTCCACAGAATAACAGATAAAGCTGCAATAAAACAACACCTCTCTTCTCATGGCAGAGATTAACAACAGCTCAGCAACATACCACGGAAACAACCCAGACAGTTAACAAAGCCAGGAGAAGCAGGTCAAACTTGCACTTGGGAAGATGCCGTAAAGCCATGTAACCAGGTAAGCTTCTGTGTTATATTTTAAACTATGCTATAGGTAAAAGACAGGCTAATACTCTGCCTAACTGCTGCTACAATTTCAGTTTTATGGGGTGGCTGCAGAATCAGTTTCAGGAGTGGCTGGGATGAGAGGGGAAAAGTCTTAGCATTTACTGCGAATATTACCCAGATTGCAAAAGTGTCTGTGTGGTAACTGGATACAGTTAATAGTGATAATGTATTTTCAAATTTGTCATTAGTTTTGATTAAATAAGTTGTGGAATTAATCACATGAAAACACCAACTGCCCTGTTCCTGTTAGGACATGGGAATATAGGAAATCAATATCCTCAGTCTATATAATACAAATATCCTAGAACAAATGTGTTTGTTCTTTTGTTGTTCAGGTTCCTCTAGTACCTGGATCACATGAAGGTGTCTATGGCACAAATATTTAAGATGAACGTTTAATGAAGTTTTCTTCCTTGAATACGAAATTTGAACTATGTAAGTCAAAATAAGTGCTTTACACATTTACTGAGCCATCCTGTAGCACTTCACTTTTTTAATAATTAGTAATTTTTCATTACTTTTTGTAGTTTTGTAGTTAATTTCATTAATTGTCAACAACAGCATGGGATGGGAGAGCAAGAGAAGGCAACTGAACTGGAAACTGTTTCATGAGCTTCAGTGGCCCACCGAGAAGGCCCTGGAGAGGCAGTGGTGGTGGCTGGCTGGATACTGGGACATTCCCTTTGAAAGCCTGAGGGTTTGGGGTGATGAGCTCAGTAGGGCTTTTCCCTAGAGCAGGTGGAGAGCAGGCTGTTAGGCCCCATGCTGTTCTCAGAGCATCAGCTCAACTAGTGTCCTAGGGGCTTACTACTAATACACAAAAATGGAAAATGCTGCCCAGGGGAAGAAGAAGGGATTGTTCCCTCCTTAAAGCAAACTTCCTTCCCTGCCTTCAGCAGATGCAATAGCCTCTCATCCCTTCTGAATGTCATTATCCCACACATACAGACTAGTCCTTTCCCATATAGACTAGTCCACACGTATAGACTAACCCTTTATTTACATTTTCTGCTACCTTATAGGCAGGTGAATTTTCCAGAGGAAAATCACTTTTGACTGGATTAAACTAAAAGGAAAAACATGGTAATGAATATTAATTGTGAAGCAGATTATTTAAGCTATTTTATATTAGTTTGAAACATGTATTATTAAGATTATTTAGTGTTAGCTTAAAAAGTCAGCGTGTTGGTTACTCATGCAGGTTAGAACCTTCAAACATATTTCCATATTAGCAAGTTTTAGTCCCAGTATGATCCCTTTACTCCTTGGATAAATAAACATATTGAAGGTTTTGAAATTCATATGACATATATTTCTGCAGAAATGTGTGAAACCAATTTTGTAGGCTCTGTACTCCTGCCATCTAACAAGGGTATATGACTAGCACGTGTTTGAACAGATGGCATGGTCACCCTGCACAGAGCATGGCACATGGGTAACCCTGGCCAGGAGAGGATGACTGCACCTTGGCATAACTGTTTTTATAAAAATATATGCATAAGTGTTTTTATAAAAAGTTCACATCCTGAAATTTCTCAGGTAAATATTACAGGAAATAAGTAGAATGAAGAATTTCAGAAGTCTGTGAGTGGCTGCTCAAAATCCTAGTTATTTCTAATTTTTGTGAATATTTAAATATCTACACCCTATGAGGTTTTTAAGAAATTATCAGAAGTTTTGACTGATACAAACATGAATTTTCAATAAAATAAAATGCAACATGGGCATATTTAATATATTTTTTCCTATAAGAATTAATCTCTGTGTTGCAACAAACCTCAAAAAAGTCCAAACTTTAGAGACAGTTACTTATCATCTTTCCTTAAAAACAAAACTCCATTTGCCCTGATTTTTATTTCAAGAAAATATTAAGGCTAAAATCAATTCTACAAATATAATCATAGTGTTTGTTGCACTAGAATCACAGAGTTGAGTGGGAACCCAGAGGACTTTCAAATCACGCCATATTTAGCATGCTAAGCAAGTTTGGGTCAGGTCAGTATTTGGAAGAAAACACTGTCTTTTTGTTTGCTTTCTTTAAGACTATGTTTTGGATGCATTGCACTCTGTAAACTTACTTGGTCAGGAATATGTTTTCTGAGACCCTGTCTTTATACTAGCCTGGGGACACATTTAGTTGTGGACGCATCACTAAAGGATTTAACAAAAAAAGAACTTTTTACTTGCATTTTGTACAATTGCTTGCACAGGATTATTTTTTTTTAAGACCCTTATTACTGACAGTAAGTGGTGAACTTGGGAGATTAATATTATCATCTGGAAGTCCTGTTTCCTAGTGGGCAGTAACGAACACTGGGGCATACTCCTGCAGTCCCCCTGACACCTAGTACGCCTCATTTTTTAACTAGTGAACGAAGTGCGCATCTAAGAGACTTCTCCTTTTTTTAACATGGGGAAATTGGGCAGCTCTTACAATTAACATATACTCGTGATCATGAGCTCTTGTACAACAGGGAACAACAGAAAACTACATAGTGACAGTATGGGAGAGTTTCCCAGCCAGCGCACACCAAGCCCCCTCCCTTGCCCCCCGAGCACCCACCTATTCCTCGCAGCGCTCCAGCTACCATGCTCAAGCACCATTCTCTGCTCACTCTGTGTTTGCTCTGTACTGTATGGTTCGGTACTGTACTGGCTGTGCCTTTAGGCAGTAAGCTCCTCGGGACAGGGACCTGTTACGTGTTTGGCACACTTCACCTATTGTACAGCGCCGAGTACTCCAGCGCTATATAAATAATAAATAAAAAATAATAATTGTATCTCCAGTTGTTCCCTCCAAAAGTTTTGCTAGGTGGCAACATAAACATTATGTTATGTCCTTTCTCTGAGTTTTTGTTTCTTGCTTCTACTCTAGGGATGGCTCAGTGATTTCAGGAACACGTAGCTCAAGCTTTTTGTTAGCAGAAGAGAGGTGTGGCTTGCTATTTGGAAGGGCAAGGGAGCTCTGGGCAGCACAAAAGGGCAGGGTCCTAGCTGCACCTTCACTTTTAAAGCAGCCAGGATAGCTTGGGAACCGTGTAAAAGTTATATTTAGAAGCTCAGTTTGCCACTACGTGCCATTTCCAAAGGCCAGAGATTTGATTTGACTAATGATTAGTTGGCGAGATACTCCCTGCATGGATGAGAACAAGTACGTTGGTAAACCATCCCCGCACCCCTACGCAGGGGAACTATACAGGATGTAGCAGTTCAGTTCCCAAAATCACTATGTGAACATCTAAGACACTCCAGTCCTGAGCTAGGTGAGGGGGTATATTATTGAAAGCTGAGGATGAAAATCAATGTCTGTTCACTGATTAGTGGCTTTTTGTGGTTATTATAGTGGGCAAAGGTTGACCCGAAGCAGGATATTGTGAAAAAAAATGCCACACAATTAGCATAAAACATGTATCAAAGGGACAGTGAAGGAATAGGGTGGGGAGGAGGGAGAGAAGGTAAAACAACATTTAGACTTCTTGTAACAGTGCCTTGTCTTCTTTTAGGTTAACTATGGTTCAGTGGCATTGCCTATCCTAAATCTTGATTATAAGAAAGTCCCAGTTAGGGCCAACATCGAATAATAAAAGGCATAACTAAAAGACAGCAATTTGTCACTAGTAGACTGCAAATCTTTAGGAAAACAGACTGGCCAATCAGGTAATTAATCACTGGCCCTCTGAATATATATTTTACGATGTCAAACAGTTGTAATCTCCCAAGAGATTTGACAACAGTGAGTTGTTAAAATGTATTTTTTAAGTTAAAAATTCCTTGCAATGCAGATGTCTATTAGCAACATAGAATAGTATACTATACATCTGCAGCCAAAAAAAACTGAACCACTTTGCACTGGTTTTCCAAAATATAAAGCTCTGTTCAGAAGCAAGCACCACTAGACAGACATGTCACAACACTGCGTTACAAGATGCATCACCCACTCACTGTAGTAGGCCCTAAGTCCTACCCCTAAATTTTAATACTTTCGGTTCCATATACGTTGTAACCTTCTCTATAAGTTGCTAAATTCTGGGTATTCTGCGAGGAAGTTGGGTTAAAAGTCTGTGCACTCTTTGCCACCTTCATTCGCTTCGCCTCTGCCCTGGACTTGTAACAGAACTCTATCAAAGCCACCAGCATTGCCAAGCCCAAGCCTCCAACCAGAATGTAGAAGACTCCAGCAACGTTGCTGAGACTCAAGGCACTCGTCTTGTCCTGGGAAAACAGAAGTGACACAGTTAACCCTGGAAAACAGATCCTCAGGAGAACAAGCTACATGTTAAAACATTGGAATTAGAAATAAATAATAATGTTTAGCTGAAATAAATGACAATTGTTTACATAACTTCTCATAAAATTTGACCTATCTGGTTCTATGAAATACAATTTAAGCACCTAGTTTTCCTAGTCAGAATAAAAAATATTGTAAGTATATTGCCAACATATTAGAATGTCATTGCTTGCTTACTGCAAATCATTACTTCCACTATGTGGAGAATTAAACAATGACATGTCTAGCTCTCTTTAGGGGACATTTCAGCACTGATATGAAACTGCATTTACTTAAAGCTCTTTATAAGCCTTGGAATCCAAAAATCCCTTTATATCAGACAAGACTCTGCTTGATCTTCACAAAAACAGTAATTGTATTACATTATGGTAGGCACTGCTGTTAGTTTAAAACATCCAGACTGAGCTTCTGATACTTAAATGACATGTGAAAATAACATGTGAGGCTTAAGTTACTTCTCTGAACAAACACTTCCTTTGAAAGTGCACACTGTACCATACACATTGTGATATATTTGCCTCTTACCGATTATTGCATTTTGTTTCTATTTTATTATGGATACAGTTCTGGAACATGCCCATGGACTACTAAGCCTCAGTAACTGTATAATTTTAAATAGCAGTTTATGAAATCTTACACACTATTCATAATTTGGACAACACTGAGAATTTTCTTTAGCAAATTATTAAATGCACATCATTTTAGAAACCATCACCTTCTTGGACGTATTGTAGTAAACTATTCCACATTTCTCTGTACTTCACTGCTTAGTTATGATTCGTATGTTTTAAATTTGAAATTCATGTGCATTTTTAGCACAGTTCTCAAGGAACTCTCTTAGGATTGACTTCCATATACTACATGGTGTGCCTTAAGATACTTATAAAGCTTTATTCTTAATCAGACTATATAATCTTTACCTAGGGTATTTATCTCTATTAAATTTTAACTCATGAAGAATGCAAAATATTTGGATGTTTAATTTAAAGAGGCACTATTTATTGTGTAATCAGTAGACCTGCACAGGAACAATTCCCATGGGTGTATAGAGGTGTTTGGGGCTTATAGGTGAGTTCTGCTTTTTCTTTTTTAGCTGGCTAAGAGGACTCTGAATATCTCGGAGGTGACTGTATTCCTCTGGTAGCAATTGCTAACATTTGTGCATGCAAACAAGGAGGAGACAGGACTGAGAAAAACCTGACCTAATGTATGTGGTGGGTTGAGCTTTTCTCAGTTGTCATTTACAGGTACTCTGTCATCCTCTTAACTGGTTTTCACTTACTTCCTCCAAAGCACTTGCCAGAAAAATCAAAAAGTGTTGGAAGTTTGTTTCCTAGGCTAATTTTACCTGCTATCCAGCAGGGTAACACTCAGGGCATGCAGGCTGCAAGCAGTCACTGCCCGTCACGCTTTCCCTCTATCTCTGGACAGCACAGGCTGGCACAGAGACAGGCACCATGAAGAAATTTCAGATTTGCCAAACACAGAGCTGGCACTGACTGTGGTGCTTGCTTCCTGGACATCAGAAAATACCTGCTTCTGTGTTTGTCCTCAGATAGAAATAGAGAAGGCTCCACTCCCTGGAGATTTCAGTATTACTGTTTGGGAATGGACAAGGCTAAACAGTGGAAGCTGTAGATAGCTATTAATTATCAAAGCCTTTCACTTCAAAGCTCAAGTTAAGTCTTCCTTGGCTCCTCAAGGAGCCAGGGACCTTTCTAAAGGCAGCCAGGCACAGCCACTCTGGGAGTGATGAAAGACAATCCTTTCCACTAGCATTTCTCCTTTTCAGAAAACTGTTGAGGGAAGCCAGTTCCAAAAGGAGAAGGCGTGAAGGGACGTTTCCTATGCGGTCAGTGGGGAAAGTCTCTCCTCGCCAGCCAGGATGGAAACAGTCAACCCAATCTGCCTCCCCCAAAACGAAAAAACTGCCTTGTAACTCTTCAACAGATGCCCTGAGTATGCGGGATGGTGTTTGGTGATGTGCATCAGTGAAGACTTTAAAAAGCAATAGTGCTTCTTTAAATTAAAGTGTGACCCCCATCAAGATGGGGCGAAACTGATTCATTCTGTGTCTACAGCTGCTTATTTTATCTCTAAGTCAGTTTTTTTACTACTTCCTTTACTGCTTTGTGAACACGACAGTAGGTCCCGAACTGCAGCGACTGACCTTACTTCCAGAGTCCTTGGGTCCACATTCACCTTTATCGTACCACCATTTGTTTTTCAGCTTGTCTAAGACGCCTGCCTCACTGAGTTTCAAAACGGCAAGGTTTACAGGAGTTCTTCACGTGGAAAATAACATAAATAACATTATATATGTTATTTTATGTTATTCAAGTAAAACTACATAGAATCGCATTGCAAAGTGACAGAGCAGAGGCCACAGTGGGTGCTATGTCATGTACTGTTGGCCCAGGTTTAGAGACAGACATATGACCGGGACCTGCTCCATCGCTTTAGGTAACAGGCACATACTGCTGGGGAAGATTTGTAAATAAATAGTATGCAATTACTGTGAACCCAAAACTATTGGCTTAGACATATTAACAACATACCCTTCAGAGACATATATAATACAACTGGATATACGACTTCAGAAAAATATTCATTTGTGTTCCTTGCCTTCAATCTATTTTAAGTTTGTACGCATACAAACTAATAATATGACTTGGCTACAGCTATTTCATTTACTGCCCTCAAAATTATCCTGGCAAGAGAAAGGAGATGCTTTGCTGCCTACAACCGCTTGGCACAGACTTTCAATCTCTGCATGCTTAGGGGGAGAGCTATGACGCCCCTATCCTCAGCTAAGAAGAACATGACAGTCAGTCTTTCATTCTCATTTCCTGTTTCAACATTCTTTTCAATTTCAAAGTTTTTCCTTAAATCTTAGCTTATTCACGTAAGTCTTTCAAGAGGCCCAGGCTGATGATAAATTACTACTTGGAACATCTTATCTTACTAGTGGTATTTGCTGTGGGTGACGTAAGAGAATTTAATATTGAGATGAAACTTAATCTGATGCCTCAAAGTTATGAACTGCTATGGGTTTACGTTGACATTACTTAAACTCAGTGCATAATATCTAAATATTATGGTAATGCTCCACTTCATGCAGTTGTACCAGTTTATTTTCTAAAACCCTAAGAAATGATTGACTTATTTTCTGTACTTTCCACTTTGTATCACTGACTGTCCAATTGTCAATGTAGTAGGCATATAGATATCTATTTATGTGCAGGTGTGCATGAAAATACAATATATATCAGAGAAGGAGGTAGATAAACAGAAATGGCATGTGATAGACAGCCTTCTGGTGATGTTATATGACATAGGGCATGATCCTGTGTGTGCCAGAAGATTCCTATAGGAAAACTAATATCTCATAATACACCATAACCCATGCATTGCTAAAATGTTAACTCATTAATTCAAGGTTTAATTAAAAAGCAACCAGTGCAAGCATTCATTAGTATAGTGTAGCTGAACCTACTAAAACAGATACTACAAAAGAGAAGAGGGGCTTGTTACACTCTATATCTGGTTTAATTGGAAATCCCCATATACTTATGTATTAATATAATAGTGCATGATTGTATGTATATATATATTTTATACACAAATAGCAGCTTCTGAGCCTTGGATGCTACTCCTAGCTTTCAAAAGGCAGGCTTAGATACCGGTTTTAACAAAGGATGAAGCATGCTGTTGAGATGCCTACCTCTTTTCATTTACTACTGAGGAAGCCTTGGTGCTTCAGAGAAATTACAACTTTTGACAGCTACAGCTGTGTGAGAGGATTCCCAAGTACTCTCAAGTGATCCCTTTAAGAAAAGGAAATGCTTTATCCACTTTCCAAATCCCACACAGTAAATTCATATGGAATACTCTGCTTTCAGAACAGAATATGCCTTTTTCTTGATCTTTTCCATTATTCAAACTTAGATTTTTTCTTCAGGCTTTCTGGCAGCAGGTTGTGCAGGTTGATAGTGGAATATGAAAGTCTCACAACTGTGAAATGAGTAAGTAGCAGTTTGGGATGCTGGCAAATTGCCTGTCAAAATGATCCTCTGTTTGCTTCTAGTACAAGTGTGAAATAATTAATATTGTTTGAGTAGCCATCATCTGTAACATGTCATGCATTGCCTCTGAGCCACATTCTTGGTGCTCCTAAATCCCAGCAGTGTAACAAGGCTGGGCTATGAGAAAGATAAGGGATATCCAGGTACTGTTCTTACATGGAAAGTCACAAACCTGTGGAGTTGCTGTAGATTCATCTGATTCAACTGGTAATTTAGGACTCAATATGAACTATCCAGACTGGCAGCAAGCTGGGATAAGTCAGAAAACAGATGTACCCTGGTCCTTTGCTTGCTTTTCCAGCACTAACACTTCAGATGTATAAAGCCTCATACACACAGAGTTTTTTTCTTCTTTGCAACTGTAGTTCCTTTAATGTCATCCTTTATGCATTGTTTCTGCAAGGAAGGTCTCAGGTTTTCCTTTGGGAAAAGCAATTGATTTCATGCTTAAAATTGCCATGCTATCCTCAATATATAACTGGATGCAATAGCAACAGCCAACAGAGATGAGGCAATTCCCACTTTTCATTGAAATACAGCCAATGATGTGTCCGGGGCCAGGCCCTTGTTCCTGCTCTCCATTATTTTTGCTGGGACAGTTTCTGAATCAAGGTACTGCCTAAGCTCAAGGAAACTTGTCCTCTGCCCCTCACTTTCTTGCCTGCTTTAGTAATGCTGTGTGGATGAGACTAGACATGTCCTTTACGTCTCCCCTCAGACAGTCCCAGTTGTGATGAGGGAGAAGCACTCTGTGCTAAATTTAAAATTAAAGTTTAAAATATGTTCAATATATTTAAAATTAAAAATATTTTCCACTTTCAGAATAGGATTTTTGTCCCACTTTAAATCAACCAGCTGCCATGGGAAATGTACACGGTCCAATGCAAGAAGCCCAGGTTGAGGGGCTGTAGAGTGGAAAAGGAATTTTGCATATGCTTTTCAGGATATTAACATATACATCTGTTTGCAATAACGGCAAGTGATTGCAGATGTCGTGAATTTTCACGTTTTAGGCTTTGTTTTGTTTGTTTTTTTTTTTTTTCATTTTAGTAGGAGATTTTCAACAACTCCCACTGGAGATGAATGCCCAGATCACCTTGGCTTTCAGGGCAAGCTGCTTATGTGGGCATCTTTCCATTCTTTGAAAACACCCTCTCCAAATAACTATAATTTTGACTATGTCAGTCACAAACTCAGAGGCTACAACTGGTTACTACACTGCTTACACAATCAATTGGTGAATAGTCCCACCAACATTAAAGGAAGCAGAAGCTAAAAATCTGTATAGTCTGCTGTACATGAGCAAAAGCAATGTACTTAAGTCATATACAGAGGACAAATCTAGCATTTAGAATTAAATTTCTCATCAAGTTCATTCTTTTTCCATAAGCAGGATCCATCTGCTTCAAATTCATGTAAGGATAATATATGAGAAATAATAACTAGAATTGCCCTTTGTACATGGGGAAGAATTTGTCCCATGTAGCCACAGTGCAAAACTGTTGTTTGACAGCACAGGAGATCCTGTTCTTTACCCATGTGCTGAAGTAACGGGCAGTGCAGCCCAACCTGGGCACAGGGACAGTGATTTTCTACCTTTTCATCATGTTCTCAGTCCTTCTACCTCTTGGCTTCTTACTCATTTCCTCCTATTCTGTCACTTGCTATTGGAAGAGTTGTTTTCTAAAAGCCTCGAGCTGGATCTTGTACCAGCAACACCAGTGAAAGCCCAGTGCTTTTAAATGGTATTAACGAAGTTCTGAGTTAGTTGTGTTCAGGACAACAACTGGGCAATTACAGCATTTAAATTACAATACTGAGTGATTCTGAAACGAATACAAATTTTTGGTAGATGGGGATTTTAAAAATGCAGTCACAAGTATGCTTTAGGAGCATTTTCATTACTCAGTCATAGCTGAACCATTAATTAAGTGCCAGGTCAGTCTCATCTCCTGAATGAAAAAGAAGGGCCACCATGTTCTCCTGAGGGCTAACAGCAGACACTGTAGGAGAGCTCCATCAGCACAGCTTGTGTACACTCACACTTCTACAAAAAAAAAATTTGAGCAGAGTGAAAGAAACTGTGTTTAGATACCTCCCTGTGCATCACATGAAATGATGCTGGCACACAGTTAAGATTTCAGGTAATACCTTCAAAAGCACTCAAATGACTTGGGGACCTCAGCTTCATCTTCGAACATGACTTAATTACTGAGGTCACTAAGGCATGGCTGGGTTGTATAGAGCAGCTTGCTGAACTGCCTTTCTGAATTTTGGAAGATCATTCTTTAAAAGGAATGATATATGGGGAGGCTAGAGATGACCATTTTAAGAGTAAAGAGTGGAGGCAGGAGAAATCTTGTTTTACAGAGCAACACAAACCTTTGGAGAACTGCTGAGCTCTCATTAAACTCCTCAATTTCCATAGTCCTCTGTACTATCATGAAGGGTTATTCTGGGTCTAGACTCTCATATTCTGACTAGAGAATCTCAAATAGTAACAGCACAGTTATCAGTCAAATCTGAAGTACTGTATTTCTTTCAGGAGAAAAGGATGTTCTTATTCTTGTTCATGACAGTAGGAAGCCCTGTAATTTGGACTGCAGCTGCTACCAAAGCTTAGTGTTGTGGTTTTTTTTTTTTTTTTTTTTTTTTTTTTTAAATTCATACAGTGAAAAGAAGTATTAGCTAGAGATGCTTAAGGGCTTAGTTCAGGTCTTCTTGGTAGCTGTCAGGTTTAGCACAGTGTATGGTGCCCTGGTTATTCCACTAATGATCATTTGTTAGTATATAAAACTATTATGTTTGGAGCTCTATTGATTCAATTGAAAGTATTTTATTGAATTTAATTGATCAGATCCTACAAGACTGTTCCTGAACAATAAAATGGATTTTGTAGATGACAAATGGCTGACTAACGCTACGGGGAGTCAGAGTAGCTGTGTTTCAAAAAACAAGACCAGCTGCTGCTGCAGTGCAGAATTTGAGAAGTGTGGCAATACCTGCTCATCTCTTTGACATGCCTAGGTCCTACTGAACATGGACAATGCAAGCACATGATAGACCTGGGGCTTCCCAGGAGCACTGGTACTGCCTACTCACTCAGCTGTGCCTGTGAAAAAGTGTAGCAGGAAACAGGCCTGAAATCAGACAAACGATCCTGGCCGGCTGTATATAGTCCTAGGACCACAGGTTGAGCT